AATGAAAGAACACCAAAGAACATACAGGACAAGTGCCGAACTGGGCGGAAGGTAAGTTTACAGAAGTTATAAAAAAGTTAAGTTGCACTTTTTACAACACAAGCAGAGAGACATGTGGCCATCTAGATGTCGAAAGTATGAGGATTCGAAGATTTATAAAGAAGAATTATTTTGCTCCAACCACTGAACACACGTGTAAATTTCCAAATGCTTCGAACAGCAAGAGGTACAGAGTACAGGAGGTACAGTATGGTTCCAGACGTTTAGACGGCAAGAACACAACAAAGTTGTACTTGTCTGTGGGAGGTTCAGTGGGCCGGGATCAAAACTAGACGAGGCCCAAATTTTTCTCCGAACAGTCTGTCCGTTGTCGTCGACGATCCAAGCCAGGCAGAAGAGACCGGAGAAGAGAAAGGACATTAACCAACCTCTTGTAGACTCAACTACTAGGCAGATAAAGTGCTTCTTGCAAAAAGTATTCTAATTTGCCGAAAGAGTGACAAAACCGACCAACCCACGCCCACGTATCTTCAGTTTCTTCCGTTCCTTTAGCCATCGCTGACTGAGGGCCACATGTCATCAGAGAAACCATGCATGTTTGAGCTACACTGCAAATATCGCTTTCTGCATTCTACCTCTCGTGGCTTCTGCTTGAGAAAAGGGAATTGACCCCCATAAAAGTAATATTTCGCGCGTGTTTTACGCGTATTGCGTATCAGTCGATGAGGGAATGATACTTGCTGAAGCGGACGCATTGTCAGAGAAGATAAGCCAACATATACTGTAGTTAGTATCGAACCAAGATACGCTGGTACGGGGTATTTAAAACATTGGCAACGTGCTCACAGCACCATGCCAGTGCAGTGGCCACAGATAGATAGATTAGGTGCTCCTGCAGAAGGTGCTTCAGGCTAGTCTCCGGGAGGTGCTCCCAGGAATCCTCCGGGAGGTGCTCTCAGGAATCCTGGATGGGGTACTTCCAGAGGCCGTTCTGTGCGGGCCGGGGCCGAGGCAGAGCCAGAAGGCTACGACACAGCAGAAGCAGAAGCGGGTGCGGGTAAGTTGTAAACTGTTACAGCAAAGTAGCACCAGTCAACCACTGAGGTGTCTCTCCACTAGCCACCTGCCGCTGAGGACGAGGATGAGGATGAGGACTTCCGCTCTCATTCACAGGTCAGTGAAGGGAAACAGATTCATGTAGAATCAACTCCACCGAAGAGTTCACATCCATTCATTCATTTCATTGTTACATGTCTGATTCTGCCTACGCCACAGAACGCCTCCAGGAAGACAAAAATACGCCGCTTGTATGATGGCCAGGGCTTTGACCTGAGGTGTCCTGTGAGTACAGCATGCACTGTCACACCTTAGCTAGCTGCCCACCACTTGCCCGGTAGCTGTGTCCGCAAAGGAAGGCCATCATCTCTGGTGTGGGGTTTTTAAAGCACTGGGACACTGCTCACGTCACAATCGCAGTGCAGAGGGCCCGCACACGCGACGCGTCCCGTCACCGTCTCACCCATTTGTTTCACTGTGTTTTGTAGCGCATATGCGGTCACTGATGTAGAACTGATGCTTGATACTCTCCACATGTACTAACCACACAAACTCGAGAGAGCAGAGAACCTCTCTGGGCTGGGGCCTGTGGTCTTATGAGTGACCTAAACCTGCCACTGTAGAAGTCATGTGTAAATGTGCTGACCATTAATGCCAGTTTCACGTACAAGGAACGTTGTCATGGATTGTCTATATATAGGTTAGACGCTGGAAGCGAGGGACCTACTCGATATTCAGAAACCCGAGGGCGGAGCTGTGTGTCCCGAGCGCAGCGAGGGCCACCATTGCCCGAGGGTTTCGAATTTACGTAGGTCCAGAGCGTCCAGCGTCTAACCGTTTAGTGCAGAGCATGAGCGCGCGAAAAGCTACGTTTCCATGGCAGATTTCAAACGACTCGCGAAAAACAGACGCACAACAGTTCGGGAAAAGAGATGGAACGAGCGACTTGCTGCCAACCGACGCAGTAGAATTTTGTGGAGACTCAGCGAGGGCTACCTAGATGTCGACCTAGACGACCTATTTAGTGTAATCAGCCACGTGTACGAACATTCAAGAAGAGGCGTGCCTGCCGCGCCACCTCAAATACAGTGCGCGAACGCCGCAGTACAATATGGCCAGTTATGCCGGGTGTATTCACCTTTCATTCATGCAGCTCCGTAGTTTATAAACTTCTCCAAGTGAAACTGTTCATCTCCATTCACACCATCTGTTTATTTATCTCCATGTCACTGTATACTTGCTTACCTAGCCAGAGAAGCATGGGATGTGAAATGCACGGTGCAGGTGCCTCTACGTCTGGAGTTTGTTTATCATAAAAAGAAATCAACATATCAGTTATTTTGATCAACATTTTGTACAGATCATGTTTTGCGGGATACATTTCTTACATGAATGCTGTTGAACTTGTTGAAAATCACAGAAAAAACAAGGTTTCATATCATGTTTTCATGTTACTTTTGTTAGCTCACGAGGTTCATATGAGAAATCAGGAACCTCGTACTAACAAATCTGATTGGTCGATTCAAATTAGCTATGCACTAATAACACGTTGGGCGCGATAGGCCAGTAAAACGGCCGTTAATCTTACTCCACGCTACGCGGAGGGCCACTATAGTGGGCACGTAATTCATGTAAAAAGGTGTGCGTGATTTAAAAATCATTCTTCGTAGACAACATTGCGGGTGTACGCAATGAACGCGTTCAACGTGTACGTGTTAATGGCAATGATGCAGGACAAAGAACTCGCCACGAGTGCTTAGGCATGTCAACTCCATGGGTGGACTAATGGGAGAGCAAAGGTCTTCCTTCATCTGTGTTCTCCTCTAGAACAGTGCAAGTGAACACTTGAGATACCTTATTAAATATAAAAGATCGAAAGTTCCCCTTCTACACTAAATAATGCAGTTGGAAAGAGAGCTTCCTCTGCGAGCTTATTTCTGTGGCCAGAAAAACGATGTGGAAAAAGCACATGCTCCTTCGCCTGTGAGTGTTAAAGTCGGAGAACGTTTCAAAGATGGAGGGGTCATGTAATAGAGGGGAGTGAGAGCCACCTCCTTTTCCCTAACAGGGAGGGGAAGACTCTAGACCATCTCTCACGGCACGTGGAGGCGCTGGGAACCAAGCTCCCACGTACAGCCACCGAAACGATCACTTGGACAGACCACTTGGTGCTATTGTACACACACGCATAAAGCCTGGGAAGGCATGCGACACGGCTGATGAAATACGCAATTCCCAAACAGGGCAACTTCTCTTTTATCTACTCACACTGCAATTGAAGAGACGTAGAATGACTCGGCCGATGAGGGAATGATCCTTGCTGAAGCCGACGCGGAACGGCGGGGATTTTAAGAAAGTTTTTAGTCTAAAGCGCTGCGAAGAAGGGTACGGTGGTGTCAGACCCGGAATATCAGGCGTGGCTGCAACACTACCACCAAGACCCGGCTGCCCAATTGATTAGTCTTATGATACCTTTGCTCTCTGCTTCTTTCCATCCACTTTCCATAACGATGAAGCATAGGTTGGCTTTGGTGGACCTCCAACGTGTAAAAGATAGGATAGTGTACAACACCTGTCTGCGATTTACAAGTTATATAACGTAACTTCTTTTCTACGCAGATCATTGCTCATACAAGTATGTAAATCAGTTGTCTCACTTTCCAAATTGTGATCCTTTCATTGAAAAACTAATGATTTTGAAATGTGAGGTGGAGGTTCTTTTGGAGGATACAGACATTGCCACAAATATCACAATAAATAAGGTTTTTGAATCAGTAGGTCATCTCCTATATACCTCTCTTTCTCTGACGTTTCTATAGTCAAGAGTGTTTCTCATTTTTATTGCAGTGCATTTTTGTCCACCAAAGTCCTCAGTTATCTTCTGGTTCACTCAATGGGCATGTGGCTTATCTCTGCACATGCGTATTGCATGCATCACCACGTTGCAAGATATCCCCTATAGCACAATTAAGATTAACCCCGTATTTTAATCGCTGCCTGCACATGTGCTGCGCTAAGCGTTTGTTGGCAGCTGAACTCAGCTGCAGTGCAATAATCATGCACCTTTATAGTATATAGTCGACACACTCTGTCTTTCTCTTTTTTTAACGTAATAGCGCGCATGTGCAGATAAAAAGTCGCCTATCATACGCTGAAAGTGCTACAAGACACTGATCTCTGGATTTGATGTGCAAGAAGACAGTCTACTGGTGTTAGAAGGTATAGTCTGTCACTGGCCACTGGTGAGTCGAAAATTCCTTCATTGGTAAAGGAAGTGGCCCCTTACTACAGTGGAAACTCCAAATAATGGACAGATTGGGACCAGGAATTTTGTCCTTCATAATTATATAGGGAGGTTGTCCTCTCTTCAGAGGTTAAAGATGTAGTGAATGTTTGCGATATCCTTTTTTCTATTGTGTCCTTTATTTGGAATGTCCGTATCGGAGATTCTAGTGTGAACATATTTTTGATGTGCTGGGGGCAATCGTCATTAAGAGGATGTTTAAACATATCATGCATAAAAACACACATGTCCATGGACATTGCATAAGCAAGGACATAATATTATACACAAACAAAAATCAGGATGTGGGTGACGACAATCAGATGCACAAATTGGATGATGTAGTCGGAGTCAGAGTTAGAACACATGGCTAATCAGTGTACGTTGTCCCCGGAGCTCTCGTACTTGCTAATTGCAAACATGCTTGTTTTGTGCATTTTATTTTGAGCTCCTAATTGAATAATGTCACACAGGTTTGTTTACAGGGGGTTTACAAAACCTCAAGTTAAATGGTTAAAAGAAGTACTGCGAATATGTTAAGTAAACCTGCTATGACCGCAACCCACTTCTCCTTTTCTTTCATGATAAGCTTGGAGTCTGAAGAGCGGTGTAGGTATCTTTACACATTGTGTAAAAAAGCATTCCCAGGGAAACAACATGCTCGCACAGTGGCTAAAGGTTTTGGCACTCCTTCCGACAAACACTCTCTGATTAGGAGTGGTTCGACTGCAGAAACAAGATGGCAGCCTTGTTCAAAAACGGAGCTGGCAAACTATGATGTAATTATGACAAGTAACGGCAATACCCAAGAAGGGTATATACAGTGAGATAGGGGAGGTCTGAAAAGAGTCTCTTAGCATATCAGAGCATCACTGCGCTCTCGCAAGAGACCAAAAGAAAATGACTACTCAAGTCCAGAAAGTGGTGGCACCACTGGAAGTTGTACATCCACTGGAAGCCTTCCTTCTCCTCCCAATGATAACCTCCCTACAACAAGATTGTAGCAAGTTGTTCAAGTGTCGAACTGCTTCAACTCTCCAGGTGCCTGGGACACGGGCAGCGGTGGCTGGTTAAAGCGAGCACAACCACTGCGTCTGGCAGTGATTGCCCCAAAACTAACGAAGATCCACCTATCTCTGGTGTGCCTAACCTCGTAGTAGAGGAACTGCTGGATGGAAACGTTTTGCTGGTGGCGGAAGTAAAAAAGGACGTTGAAGTACAGGGAGAGAACTACCAGCTAATATCCGCGTTACGAGCTCTTCAAAAGCACCAGAAAAAAACATGCGATAGATGGTGTCCTAATAGATGGTGTGTACAACTGGGGACTACGATATTACTGAAAGCGTGTAATACGTGTATCTCACGTCATTGCATGTGGGGGCAGTGTGGCATGACCTAAAGTAATGATTTGCATAATATTGCTTTTGTGTGTGTGTGTGTGTGTGTGTGCGCGCGCGCTCGTGTGTGTGTGTGTGTGTGTGTGTGTGTGCGCGTGCGGCACTTATAGTTAGGAACCATCCACGCTCAAGTAGAAGCCGAGAATCCACATACTGAGAGCAAAGACCAGTCCAGGGAATCTGAAAAACTGTGGGAAATAGACCCCATCCCGGATGTCGGGAGCCACTGCTGCCCCCCAAATGCCTTCCATAGATATTACATCCTTCGAACCGTTCTCCCTCACACCTGCCCAGAGGGCGAGTAAGAGGCCTCCAGGAGAACGAGAGGAACACTTTCAATCTGAGGTGGCAACATACAGTTCCCCATCGCCACAGCACAGGACCTCTGGGGACAAGACCAGGGAGGGGGCCCCACCTTCAGAGGGCGAGTAAGAGGCCTCCAGGAGAACGAGAGGAACACTTTCAATCTGAGGTGCCAACACAGTGAACATAATTATACACCTCCACCCTTACGGCCCCGAGGGGAGTACCACAAGCAAACATAATTACATGGAGCAGCCACAGGAGCCGTAGACTGAGCTGTACACTGGTAGTAGTAGTCTGTGCATAGTGCACACGAGACTGAGCAGCCTGTCCCGCACTGTCGCACTGTCCATGTGGGGTGTTACCTTCCATGCTCTGGCTTCTCCAGCAGGACACGTCTGAGACTGACGCCCCCACAGACCCCCAGCAGGACACGGCTGAGCAGGTAGGACACTACGTATGAAGTACTGGAGCAAACCTGTATTGAAGTACAGAGGGAACCTGTTCCAGCATGGTGGTTCCTCTGTCGTACAGTAGCTTGCAGAGGTTCAGAACTGGTGAACCTCTCTGACGGCTTTGTCAGCCCTACCACCAGCGAACATAATTATACACCTCCACCCTTACGGCCCCGAGGGGAGTACCACAAGCAAACATAATTACCCCCTTGAGGCCGTCAAGCTTAAACTACCGAACCCAGCGAAACGCAGGAGCGGCATGTGATCCCTGCCGCTCTTCGCAACAACTGAGAGGAGTGTGAAGCTCTCCTCCACAACTCCCTCCTCCCCCCGTCGCTCTCCCACAACTCCTTCCTCCCCCCGACCTTGGGCAACTTGCCCATTATAGGGGGTCAACGCACTACACCAAAGCTGTCGCAAACAAATTTTCCTCAAGTAGGTGCAAATTGTACACATAAGTGCTTTTGGCTGGTGCGGGCAGTGACATCAGTGTATTTCTGAGTAAGTGTAAAGTACATCTTGCAACCTGATAGGTTGAGAACATGCAACAGATATGTGGGGTTCATGTGTTCATGTGATGATTACATCGACTTGAGCGAGATTAGCTCTATTCCCAATAATAATCATAATCTGAAGAAAAGAAGCTACAACCTGAAAAGGACACAAAGCAGAGACTCAAGTCCCGAGCTACAAGTTAAGAAAAGTAAAGTCACTTTCGTTTATTATACTCATAATCCCTTCAATGCTCGTAGTGGTGGTGCCTAGCCTGTCAGCACTAGGGATGGAAGAACGAACGTTAACAAATATAGCTTCGTATGTAATGCGGAAGGTAAGTGGGTGGTATGTGGGGGGAGTAGGATTCCATGACGATCGCTACACAGCTAGCTAGCTTATGTCAGAACTGGGAGAACCGGCTACGAAGAAGCTACGATTTATTCTGAAGCTTACAGACAGTCCAGACAGCAACTCCTCTCCCTTTACTCTTCCGAGTCTCTCAGTTCGCTCGAAAATCCTGAGGACACATGTATGTGCTACTGGCAGTGCATTAATGTATACCAATGGTAATATAACCCTATAGGGTGGCCATCATCTGCGTCGAAATATGACGATTTCCTGAACCTGGCGAAGAACAATATAACACGTCATCAGTGTCACTGTGAAGCCTGACAAGAAACTGGAGCAGTTCCCTCTCGCAAAGCCCTGTAACATGTGTTCCAAACGGTTCCGAGGGTCCGGGATATTGAGAGTAATGCAGGGAGTGGAGTGTGACCGAAATACCCTGGTAAGTTTTTATTATGTATATGAAAAAGGCACCATGCTCCATCTTTTTATGTAGGACAAGACACTGGTGCCACTCGCAGCTGCCTTGAATGTGGCAATTGATGAGGGAACCTATAATGGACACCTTAATTCAATATCGACTGTGTTATCTTAAATTATTTTCCCTCCATCTCCCTCCTCCCTCTCTTCTCCCACATCGTCTCCTGCTCCTTTCCCACCTCCCTCACTGCTCCTCAGAGAAGGCTTCTCTTGTCACCCACGTTTCTGAGAATCGATCATGTCACGAGTCACCACATCATTAATTCAAGCATACTACTGCCTCTATCAGCACAAAGTCACTGGATTTGCTGGTATCCCTTGTAGGCCCCCTCGTCGACGTGGTTCGTTATTAGGTATTCAGACCTAGTGGACGTCTGCCATCCCCTCCTTGTGTTGGTGGCTGATCTTGCTGTTTGTTTGTTGGGTGGCTGATCTCCCCTGTGTGCATATACTGTGTACTCCTGTCTTCTGTTCGGGCGGTAGTCCTGGATGGCAAAGCGAGAGAAAGAAGAGACCTCTTTGCTAGCGGATGTGGGAAGTTTTTGCTGTACGAGCTCGTAACTGTCTCCACGTCTGTTAGTGCGAACACACTTGTAACGAGATAGATTGAGAACATGCAACAGATATGTGGGGTTTGGGCACTATTCACCCCCCATACCGCAATAACTTACGCTATATCCATGACAACAGTTTCTTTGGGGTGGGCCTATCTTCCTATAAAACGGCAACATCCATTGATTATTGCTTTTACTCTATGTGATTTATCGCCTCTCGCCGCAATTGTCGCAGTGACAATGCTTTTTGTTTTCATCGTCGGTGCTAGTTTGCTGCGTCTTTGCCTCGGGCACCAGTTTTATCCAAACTTCAGTGCAACCAAACGGAACTACCAGCTGATGGAAGGGTCTCCTCCAACTGTCTTTCAAACCACTGCGTCTGATCTCCCTCCCACTACCATCCCCACCAGCTACTGGGTTATCTCCCAGAGGAAGTAAGCTACACTGAGGGTATCCCAGAGGAATTAAGCCACCAGCTGATGGAAGGGTCTCCCCAATGCGTTCAACCATTGCGTCTGATTTCCCTCCCACTACCATCCCCACCAGCTACTGGGTTATCTCCCAGAGGAAGTAAGCTACCAGCTGATGGAAGGGTCTCCTCCAATTGTCGTTCAAACCATTGCGTCTGATTTCCCTCCCACTACCATCCTCACCAGCTACTGGGTTATCTCCCACAGGAAGTAAGCCACCAGCTGATGAAGGGTTATCTCCCAGAGGAAGTAAGCTACCAGCTGATGAAGGATTATCTCCCAGAGGAAGTAAGCCACCAGCTGATGAAGGGTTATCTCCCAGAGGAAGTAAGCCACCAGCTGATGAAGGGTTATCTCCCAGAGGAAGTGTCCTCCCTCCAAAAACATACAATGTCCTCCAAGAAACTCCACATCATGCATACATACAATGCCTGTCCTCCAAGAACATCAACATACCCCAGGGAAGGATTTATGGCCTACCTGCAGACACATGCGGGAGGAACGATGGCAAAACCCTGCGGCCCAGCTGACGAGATGTGTTGGGAAGTACATCTTTGCCCTCAACCCCGAGGTCGTCCAGGAAGAACGTCTCCTCAACGTAGACCCCATCAATAGCTACCTGGAGGACCTCACACGGGGGTCAGGGGTCGGGGACGAGTGGGGTACTTCACCGCATACTGGCCCACAAGGCAGCCGAGAGGTCATGAGATTTACCGGGAGTTACTTTCCACCCAATGGTCTTGCACCCATGCACAATTGTCTCTCCCACATAGATGATGAAGGACACTCAGCTGAGTTTATGGTCTAGTGGCTAAAGCTCTTGCAAGTGGAACAAGGTTTTCCTGCTACCTGGGTTCAAAGCCTGTCAACTTCTCCTTTTTATTTTTCAGCCTCACTGACTGGTGGGTATAAAGGCAAAATTTCAACTACTGCTCTCGGGTCACTCATGTGGCGCAATCAGTAGAAGTGGGGACTACCAGTATAAAGGTTCCGGTGGTCGAGAGATCGATCCCGGGCTGGAAGCTGGTAGGTGGTCCAGAGCACTGGCTGGGAACAGCTCTGGTTCCTCCCCTTACCCACTCTCTGTTTGACAATACTGAGTGCCCCCGCTTCACTGGGTATGTTGGCCACATGCCTGGTGGAGTGGCTTTTTTCTTCTTTTTTTTTCTCGAAGTGCAAATCCCTTTTTATTCATTCTCGAAGTTGCGCAAGTGTTCATTATGTTCATGTCTATTCTAACTGGATATTTGCAACGTTTATGTCGTTACTCATGTGCTTTAAGTCTTCCTAATAGCAAGCTTTCTAACCAATAGCAAACAAGAACGAGCGACTGAAGAAGCTGATCCCGGCAAATGCTTGCAAATCTTCTGAACATTGCTAGCATCTTACAATCCATTCACTATCCATGCAACTGACGCTTTGAAATTTGAGGAGGAGGAAGGGGAATCATTGGGCTAGGGGGCATGGGGGCGAGTTGAGTACTACACAGAATTCTACCTCACAAAGCGGCTATCAATTACACCATGGAGGGATGGGCCGACCTGCAGACATACGTGGGAGGAACTATGGCAAAACACTGTGACCAGAGGGTGGGGGTCAGGGAGGACAGGAAGAGGTTAAACAGACAAGTGTGGGGCTGGGCTATTGAGCAGTAAGAGAGGGTGTGGGTCAGGGAGAGAAGAGAAAGGTGCCTACAAGATAATGCTTAAAGTGGCTCAAGTGGACAGAACCGAGCGGTTATGAGCACCTGAGAGTAACTGCCCACTGAGTTCCTCCACCGAGGTGGAAAGGGAATATGGCAGTAGATAAGGGCCAAAAGTGTTACTAAAGACATAAATTAACAAAGAATGCCATTCTCAGTAAAATTATCCCTCAAAATACTACTCTGTGCAAATATTTGATTTTTCCGACACAATAGACGTGATGATTTTTCACTTCACAAAAACACGACTTATATACCCACAACTGTACAGAAACAAAAAAAAGAAGAGAAAAGAGACTACCATAGCTATTGTATGCACAACACAAGTTTACCTGACCGTGCTACCTTACAGACCCACGAAGACCAGCACAACACGTCCAGCCAGTTACCAAACCACGTGGCGCATAAATAAATAAAACTTTCTTCAATCAGACAGACATCCTTCTGACAGAGATTTACGTTGGCAAAAACACGGACTTGCTCACCAATAAATCCGCTGAATGTCACACACATAAAAACAATTTTTAGAAACCATTCCCTTCCTTCCAAAAACGTCAAAGCATTGTAATTGCTCTCACCCCTTCTCAAGGCACACTGCAGGCAAACCCAGCACTAGGCCCAGAAACCAAATGTGCATCAGAGCTAACGTTTCTTAACCTCCCGTCATGAGAATCACCCACAACTTATACCAAGGCAACACTCCACAACACACCCTGCTTAGGCAGCAAGCGAACTACTCCCACACCCAACTAATAAGGGAACATCCTGATGATGAACATTATTTCCTACTCCAAAATTTCGACACAGGCTGTTAGCAAAATATTCTTATGTAGCTATAAAATCCCAACCATCTCATGGTTTCCTAAAACGCATATTTCAAGAGTTTCACCTGAAGTTACACTATATACTTTTTACAACTAAAAACGCCCGTACGTGTTTACCCTGTAATGTAACACATCAGCGGAGAGTATACGGACGGATACACGGACCCATACCTCGAAACTGCTGAGTGGTATTTGCAGCGCCAGCGAGAGCCTTTCATGGTCCACCTCGTTGTCAAGGGCGATGACTCCACCGTGTATTCCGCTCTTGGAGAGATGTCTCGCGTGATCCTCGAGTCCTATTTGACACACCCACTCCTGCACATGGTCGTTAGCCCACACCAAAACATCTGGATATAAAGGTCGACAGGAAAACAAATTGTAAAATTTTTCAATTCGCATTGCAAGCATCAGAAATCGACAACGCTGCAGTTTTAGGCGTTCTTGCGATCGAAATCCGCAGAATTGTTGACAGACTAAAAACGGGACCTGGTATTCCGCGAGCTTGCGAAAAAAAGTTGGTGCGTTGCGCAGTGGAAAAATTGCGAGGACTCGCGTTGTGATATGCGGAAACAACAAACAACGACCTAAGCTCGCAGTCGATGCAGATCAGGTTGCTACGCGAACGCGTATATACGTAGAGAGAGATCCGCAGGCGCTACACAACTCACGTCACCGGCTCAGAGTTCCGTCAACGCAAGGACTGCGCGTGCGTATAGATTCCGCACAGAATCCGGTCGTCTCGACGTCCCTCCCGTAGTCCGAATACTTCGCGGGAAACGGTGAGGAGCTAGACACGGTGGGAAGACACGAACCACCAAGGGGTCGAAAAACGTCCCGGATGCTCCGGCTGCGCGAACTTCGCGGGCCCCGATGTTTTTACTTCAACAATGCGCATGCTCAGTTGCACCGCGCAACTGCGCGCGAACGGACCCAAAACACCCACGAGTCATACTGCGCATGCTCAATTCCACGTGGTGCACATTGCGCAAGCGGCCCGTTATCTCGCGGGATCTGGGGAGGGACACCGCCAGACACGCTAAACCTTGTTAGTGCCCCACAGGTGTGCAGTTGACAACTTTGGGAAATTTGAGCCCAAGTGCAGTTCTACCTTTCTTGGTTCTGACATCCACAGCTCTTCTTCTCCTCTCCAGTTCCTGTAGCAGATAGAGAGGGAGGGAACACATGTAGTCACGTACATATGCATACACAGTAGCATTATTTTGCACAAGACAATAAAATGCGTGATGTCACATAGCAAAACTGGGGCAAAATACATTTTCACAGGCTAGAGTTTGTTCGTTGGCTTTTATAATCAGAAGCATGTAGTGAGAGAGTAATGTCAAGTCAACTCATGCAGTATTAAGGGTATTTATATGAGAGTTGGGTGAGGTTGTTGGTTACACAGCAGTCACGTAAATGTCTCAACAACTTGGTAAAGAGGTAAAAGGCAAGGCACAGCAAAAAAAAGTCAGCTACATGTTCATGTATGTGCGATATACCGCTCTGTTGTAGTCCAGTTTCTTGAGGACAGAGATGCCGTATTGAAGACTGTTTCTGTGAGACGTGTCCACCATTTTGAGGGCAGTTCGCAGGTCCTTCTTTGTCAGGTATTCCAACATCCGTGCATCAACTAGACATACTTTGAATACCTCCTGGAGAGGTTTGGGGGGGATTGTTGGAGGGGGTAGCGAGAGAGTACATACAAAAATTAGAAGCTACAAAAGAGCCCTAAACAAACTGTTCTTGCATGCAATTTGACCCTGGACACCTCACTAATATGGACACCTTTTCTTTCCCCAAGAACAGTTCTTGCCTGCAATTTAACCCCTGAAATAAGGACACCTCACTAATATGGACACTTTGTTCTGTCCCATTGGTGTCTGCATTACAGAAGGTTCCACTGTATTACTCAATGCAATGCAGCAAATTAATATAAACAACTTGAATCACACATAAACACACACTGTGTACAGTACAGTAAATGCACCTTGTACTGAGGCAGGCCGAGACTAGGCAACCAGTAGTCACCGATCCACTCGTGACCCATCTCACCATACAGAGACGTCTGGCAGGAAAAAGATAGAGGGAAAACATTTTGGGACAGAGGACGGAGAAAATTTAGGGCGTGGGGGGGAAAATTTGAGGGGAAAAAGCAAAAATATTTTTTTATATTACAATACATAACTGCAATGCAGGAATTATTCGCAGGGTGTAGTATAAAAAAAACCTACAATTATGAAGCTAGAAAACAAGATATTTCGTTTGGAATTTCTGAGACTAACGGTTCTTGCGATGTGGGTGGAGGAAGTGAGTGAGACCATTTCCTGGACGGCCAGCCGCAGCTTCAGTCGGTGGAGACTGTTGGTTATTCCAAACTCCTGTTCCAATTCAGCCTCTGTCAGACTCTGTATAATATAGAGGACATACATACTTGTACAGTGTATGCAGCTGCAGGACAATGGGGAGAGGGAGATAAGATCTATATACCACTAGACATTCCTGGGGCACTGGAGCAGGTGTGCACTACAGCTCTGCAAAGTGAGCAGCACCTTTCCTTCCCAACTCACTCAGCTTCTTTTTTTAAAATCCTCCCTCTCTTCTTTCCCATCTAGCTCACAATCCCTCTAATGCCCTTCCTCCCTTCCTCCTCACACACTATATATAACTGTAATGCCCCCCACTTTCCACCTCCTTCTCAAACTAACATTCAACATGGCTCCATTGGCTATGCAGTTCCTGATGGCCATGATGTACCAGTAGGGAACACCGACCCACACCTCCAGCCATGCCACTAGAGTCATGGTGTCCCAGTGGCTGAAATGAAGTCCCCTCTGGAGGACGGTGGTCAGCAGGTCACCCCTGGAAATGAGGTGTAGGTCAAGGTCACATGATTAAAAATGGTTGTAGCTGCAGTGAACGTATTATAATACACTCCGAATGGGGTTAGAGGCTTTATGTTTAAAAACACCAAAATTTGCACGTGAACCTGGCAATATTTTTACTGGCTGCACATGTTACCACAATATGTAAGGTGAAAAACTGAGGTTTCATAAATTCTCAAAATTTGAAGGTAAACCTAGCAATATTTTACTGGCTCAACATGTATAATTTGTAAGAGCCAATACATAATTATGATATGTAAAAACGTAAGGAGGGAAAAAAAGCGACTGACTTTCTCTGTCTGTCTTCTTCTCTGTCCTCCTGATTCTCCAGTAGCTCACCAAAATCAACACTGTCTCTCACCTGGGGATCACTGACACGATTTGCTGGTGGAGGGGAATGAGGGAAGAGGAAGGTGGACATAACAGTATATACTTACAGTGTGAATTAATCTATGGCATAAACTTTTCGTACTTTCAGTCTGAAAACAGAGTAAAAGACAGGCCAGCCAACCACCCTGAATACTTTGAAACGTTTCGTTCTTTTAGCAGGCAAGTGGGGGGAAGGACAGGCCAACCAACCATCCTGAATACCTCGACTATAGCTGAGAGTGTGCAGTGAAAGAATAGGGTGGCCAAAATTGTTCGTACTTTTAGCAGGCAAGTGGGGGGAAGGACAGCCAAACTAACAATCAAAAATACATTTTATATGTTTGGAGTGTGCAGTGTAAACCGTCTTCAGGTTATCATGCAAAAGAGAAACGAGAGTAATTGAAGAGAGGGAGAGAGAGAGAGAGGAGAATATGCCTCACGAGGTTTAGGGACTGGTTCGCTTAATCTCTTGAATCCTTTGGCACTGCCACCTTTCTTGTTGCGACGAAACAGTTTCCCCAGAGATCGACGTCTCTTCTTGGAACTGGATTCAGACACGACAACAGCTCTCGCATACTTATACTCACACAGAACACATGTACAGTATCAAAACGTACTATAATGTACACTATTACACTAGTAGTACATGTACATGTAAAGTGCTTTTTGTTGGGGTAAAATATTTTCGTTCCCAGGATCCTTAGAAGATACAATAAAGTTACACCACGGCCTTAGCAAATCTGTAGGTTAAGCAGTGTTCCATAAAAAATTATTTTACCTCCGAAATTAAAAAAGCTGGCAACAGTATTATATTGAGACACAATAAAGTTCGTAGAGTTTCAGTGTTACTGCAGGGGTTAAATTGCACGCAAGAACTGATCTTTGGAAAAGTGAACAGTGTCCTTGGTAGAGATGTGTCCTCATTTCAGGAGTGTCCTTAGAGAGAGGTTCAACTGACTTGAATGATGTGTATATATATACCTTGTAGACTGGTTGGCAGAGTCCCCACTGCTGCTACTGTTGCTAGGAGATGCGGCTCCACTGGAGCCCCGCGGAGGGATGGGGAAGAGGAGGTGGGGGGAGGGAGGAGGGAGGGCGGAGGAAAAAGGGAGGGAGGAGGGGGAGGGGATGCAGGCTGAGACACTCGGTATATGGCTCCAGGCATTGTCTCTGCCTTGAACTTGCGGCCACGTCTACTACTCGGGGGAGAGGACCGCTGAGAAAAAATTGATGAAAAAATACATTATCAATCGTCTCAAAACCACATAGCGTATTAACTAAAAAGCATTGCACTTATCAATTCAGCTGAAAAAAACAAACAAAATTGAGCTGAAAACATGTTGCATACCAAAACCGTATAAACTCAAACTTAATGCCTATATATACAACGGGACTGTATACAGCGATTGTGTCCCAATTCCGTACCGGCATGGACTCGAGACCGGGGTTGAAGAATGAGCCTTCGGCCGGTCTTGGGATCTTGGAATCAAACTGTGGAACTTGGATTCTTCCCTCGTCTCTCCCTCCCTCACTCTCTCCTCTTGATCTGAGGACAGGGAGAATACAGTTATAGTGATGGGCTGGCACCTACCCCCAACTAGTCGTCTGAATGCTTATATTATATATTTATTTGTGACGGGCATTGCACACAGTAATGTTTACACAATTCTAAATAATATGCGTGAAATGATACAAAAATTGAGCTGCTCGCGCTTCGCTTGGCAAAAATTACACTAGTATTCATGGTTGCCGAATCTACAAAATCAACAAAAGCCGGCAAAATTTGTCTTGTTTAGTGCTGTTGAGAGCAGGCTCTGGGTCGTTGGACCACACCCACCTTCCTGCGCTACAGCACTTGGCACAATATTCACCCTCCACTGAGTTTGGGTAAGACAAGGTGCAAGAACCTCCCCCCTCTCCCTCTCCCACGCTGATCAGTAACTCACTCCATTCCTTTGACGGTTCCCTTCAAGGTCTCTCATGAGTCTTGCCACTGCCTCCTCGTCGGCAAGGTCACCGAGATCCATATCTCTCATCCCTCTCCCTCCTCTTCCTCCTCCTCCTGGCACAGTTAGAGTCACTGTGGCTTCATCTTCTTCAACAACCTAACACACGGAAAACAGACACTAAATCGTGCATTAGAAGCTCACAAAATACTCCCGCATTAGAAGCTACATACAAAATACTATTGGCATTAGATGGGCTGAGAACAAGAACGGTCCAACCCACAAAAGGTCCCCCTGACATGAAATTACCATTGAGTTTTGGAAGGAGAAAAATATTTGCAAAACCTCACTTTTTTTCACTATGCACTACCCACTTTTTTTTCAGACTGTTTATGCCATACTTAATTATAGGATCTCAACCCTTTATTTATATAATGACCTAATACTTGGTTATTTATATCAGCCTTCTTGTGTAAGGTGTTTCCATAGTTATGTATTATGTGAGGTGGGGGGTGTTGATTCCAATTAGAGCCCACCTTATCCAGTTTCTTTCTTCTCAGTTCTGCGATGCCGGAGAGAGAGGAGGAGGTGGGGATGTGATGGTGAGGGGTGGAGGAGGGAGGGGTGAGGGAGGAGAGGTCCAGCTCCATAGTCGGTTGCCACGAGTAACGCTTGGTGGCTCGAGAGAGGTTTGGGCTGCCTCTTGCCTGAGGTGGACAACGAGAGAGAGAGAGAGAGGGAAGAGAGAAACGTGTTCATACATGGAGAAAAATAACAGTTACTTTACCACTGAGTCCATTATTGTATGTGTATAATTAACCCTCGCCTGGTCTGCCTGTATTGATGGTTTAGCAAGTAAGAATACCGCTGGAATTATTAAAGGAAGAGCAGTCTCTGATCTTCTCTGAGACAGCCAACTAGTGAACCTCCATAATCAACAGTGGCGAGGGTTATACACTTTCAAGTGCTTTTCATTTTTAAACGGAAAAGCCATGAAATTTTGAGTGCTTTTCATTTTTAACTACTGTCACAAACATCAAATTTCCAAACTATTAATATTTTCAAACAGTGTCTCACTGTTAGTTAGTTAGTAAGGAACAAACCTCGACAAGTTTCAGGTGGCGTTTCAGAGCCGACAGTTCTTCCTTCAGCTGCTCAGTCTCCTTCACGTCCGCCGCCAGGACCCTCTCTCTCTCCTCCGCCAGCTCTCGATATTTAGTCTGCACAGGGTTAAAAATAACTCTCTTTACACTAGATACATACACATACATACAATAAACCCTCATGTTTACTACACCAAGGATTTAAGTGAATAAAAGAAAGTGAGACACAAAAAAAAACAAAAGAAAGCGCAGTAAGGTATAATTATACACAAAGACATTCACCAAGAAAAAGAACATTATCTAAAAAAAGGACCTTCCAAGTACACCATTTTTAAAAAGACACTATGGCTATAGTGCATTTTTTCACATGTGAATAAGGGACGCCTCTGAATAATGGACACTGTCCCCCTCCACGGTGTCCATTATTCAGAGGTTTCGCCTTATTTCAACCTATTTCTTATGCGTCACCCCCTCCCTTCCCTCTCCCTCTCCCTCACCTTCTCCTCGGTCAGTGTCTTCTTCTCTGCGAGGTGGTTCCTAGTCGCCGTGTCTCTCTCTCTCAACATCCTCTCGACTGACAGCTGCAGTCGCGAAACTGTCGCCTCCTTCACTGACACCATTCCCTGGGCCTACAGGACATTGGAACAGTACATGTCAAACAACAACTACATACTGTACATACATTATTACTTATGTACATTAGCTACTTAGTGAAAATTTGTGACTTTGTTTTTGGGTTTGCTGTTTGTTTTTTCTTCCTATTTTCTGTCTGTGTTTGTACTTTATTTAGGTCTTTTTGGGGAAAAAAGACACAACTATACTCACAGCTTTAAGTTGACTTTTGATATTTTCCATTTGCTCTTCAGCTTCAGCCGTTCTTGATGCCTGCACATGAGATAGAGAGAGAGAGAGAGAGAGAGAGAGAGAGAGGGATTAGGCAAAGGGGTGAAATGTTTGCCTTTGCAAATGGATTCGACAAAGACGTGCATAGCGTGAAAAAAAACTGCATTCATGAAAAACTTTTGGTCGCAAAAGTTCTATGTAGACTAATGTCTCTGAGAATTATTCAACTTTCAGTTCCAGTATGGGCATTACCTGCAGTAGCTGTTGGGAGTGAATCTTCTCCTGCTTCGTCTTCAGTTCATGGGCCGACAGCAGAGCCAAGTCTCTGGTTCGAAGCTCACCCTTCAAACTATCAACCTCTTCCTCCAACTGTGGGGACGATGACGTAATTATGATGTCATCACATTCAACAGACAACAGTGGTACAATGTACTGAAATATACCCAGTAAGTAAGTTCCTTGGAAAAAGAAAGAGCTGTCCTGGGTGTAGTTGATTTGTTTGTTGTACCTTTGCCTTTCTACCTCATAGTTTTCACATGCGTTTCATATCATATACTTGGCTTGGAGTTTGGCGTCATTGGTGGTTTAATTACCCCGGTCTGCTCCTACATACCGAGTGAGAGTTTACTGTGCCACAGCACAGTGGTTTGAGGTTTGGAAAAAAGAGCTGTCCTGGGTGTAGTTGACTTGTTTGTTGTGCCTTTGCCTTTCTACCTCGTAGTTTTCAAATAATGTCTAGTGTGCTACACATTACACTAACATGAAATAATGACATAATGGTGACGTCATGGCGATGTAATACCTTGCTATTCTTGGAGGTCAGAGAGACGAGTTGGTCTTCAGTGTCGGAGAGTCGCTCTCTCACATCTCGACATTCCAGCTGGAGGGCCGACAGCTCTGCCTGCGCCTCTGACACGCATGATTCCAGTTCTGACCTCGCTGACACCAACTAGACACAGATTTTACACGGGGGAACACAGAATCAACAGTGTGTGAGTTATGATTTTACTGACACCAACTAGACACAGATTTTACACGGGGGAACACAGAATCAACAGTGTGTGAGTTATGATTTTACTGACACCAACTAGACACACATTGACACGGGGGAACAAGTAATTCAACTAACAACAACATCTATATAAAGCTTTCACTGACATAACAGAAAAAGGCGTTTCTGCAGAAGTAATATCAACCATATACAACTTAAAGGGAATGTGGGATTAAATAAGGGCTTGATATATATTACTAAAGATGTAACTTATAGGGCCCCGTGCAAGATTATTTTTTGCTCTTATAGACTGCCACATTCTGTTTAAAATTGAAACTTGTCACCGACTGACACGGGTGTTAAACCCAAGATTAGGGAGGGAGAAAGAGAAGAAGAAGATATAAACCTCGTTGTTCTGCATCTTGATGATCTTGAGCGAGGCCTGCTCTCTCTGCAGTTCTTTCAGCGCCATGGACAGTTCCTCTTCACACTCCTGCACTTTCCCGCTCAGTTCATCTCTCTCCTGGGTCACCTGACGTCATGCAGCAGGAGGAGGAGGAGGAGGAGAAGGAGGAGGAGGAGAGGTGGGAAAGAGGTTAACAGTGAACACGCATTTCTGGGCTAAATAATACGATGCTCTCATAAATAAACAGTCGCTGTCCGAAAAAGATTCAATTTGGGTTGAAGATAGAGAGTTTATTGGCCTACAAATAGAACGAAGAAGCGGTTACGTAACGTACACAGGTTTAATTGCAATTGAAATTCAGAAATTTAAAGATGAGAGTGAACATGATTTCGGCCTCAAATATAGAACGAAAAGGCTACATTAGATTGCTTGCCTAATAAAGAGCGAGTTACTACATATTATCATTGCTGGCCTAAAAAAACACAACACAGTGCTTTATGTGAAAATAAAATGTGTGCCAGCGCATCATGAAACTGTACAAACTACAGTAGTACTGTATATTGATTGACTTTGATTTGTGCAGGAGCATATAGTAAAGCTGTAGCTTGTAGCTAAAGACAACAGATGTGTGGCAACTATATGCAATACATTGTATGAACACCCATGTACAACGAAACTACTAACTATGCAGTAGTACACCATACGTACCTCCTCCAGTTCAGCAGCTCTCTCGTCGAGATTGAACTGAAGATCACTGATGGTCTGGTCTCTGTCCTCCAGTAGAGCCAGCTGCTCTCTTGTGAATCTGCAGGAGGAAGAGAGGGAATTCTGTGTCACCTCCATCTCACTCTCAACCGTCATCTTTCCCCCTATCTCACTCCAAACTGTCGTCTTTCCCCCTATCTCACTCCAAACCTTTGTCTTTTCGTCACAATATTCATCTTGATCCCACCTTTCATCCTTTCCCTCACTCCATCTTTCCCTCACTCCATCTTTCCCTCACTCCATCCTTTCCCTCACTCCATCTTTCCCCCAAATCTCTCTCCCACATTCACTATTGCCCCCTCTTCCCCCCGCCCTCTCTAAGAGATTTATATAGTACAGTTGTACATGCTTTCAGACGTGACTGCATACTAAAATAGAGAGAGAGAGAGAGAGAGAGAGAAAGATATTTCGTACCCTCCCATGTCAGAGAGAGGGAGAGAGAGAGAGAGAGAGAGAGAGAGAGAGAGAGAGAGAGAGAGAAAGATGTATGTCGTACCCTCCCATGTCAGAGAGAGAGAGAGAGAGATATTTCGTACCCTCCCATGTCAGAGAGAGAGAGAGAGAGAGAGAGAGAGAGAGAGAGAGAGAGAGATATTTCGTACCCTCCCATGTCAGAGAGAGAGAGAGAGAGAGAGAGATATATTTTCGTACCCTCCCATGTCAGAGAGAGAGAGAGAGAGAGATATTTCGTACCCTCCCATGTCAGAGAGAGAGAGAGAGAGAGAGAGAGAGAAAGATGTATGTCGTACCCTCCCATGTCAGAGAGAGAGAGAGAGAGAGAGATATTTCGTACCCTCCCATGTCAGAGAAAGAGAGAGAGAGAGAGATTTCGTACCCTCCCATGTCAGAGAGAGAGAGAGAGAGATTTCGTACCCTCCCATGTCAGAGAGAGAGAGAAAGAGATTTCGTACCGTCCCATGTCAGAGAGAGAGAGAGAAAGAGATTTCGTACCCTCCCATGTCAGAGAGAGAGAGAGAGAGAGAGAGAGAGAGAGAGAGAGATATTTCGTACCCTCCCATGTCAGAGAGAGAGAGAGAAAGAGATTTCGTACCCTCCCATGTCAGAGAGAGAGAGAGAGAAAGATATTTCGTACCCTCCCATGTCAGAGAGAGAGAGAGAAAGATATTTCGTACCCTCCCATGTCGTAGCTCTTGCTGAAGAGAACCGAGTTTCTATTCTGAGCCTTTTTCAACCTCTTGTTCTCCTCCTGTAACGCCTTGATCTAGAAATAAACATTACATCATCATTACATCGTCAGACACTGATCTCGATACACCATTGAATCATCACTACGCCATCACAACATCACGTTGATCCAGATGAACACTACCATTACATCATAATTACATCATCACAATTATTACGTACTGCACACCTCGTGGTTGGCCAGTTTCAGTTCGTCGTCAAGAAACAGATTTCGCTCCTGAGCCACTCTCAGCCTCTCTCTGACCTGTTGACATGGTGAAAGAAAATTAGGAAACCCCTACATTTCATTTCCATTAAGCTTTGTACATACTACATGAGGAACAGTAACGTGTAATTTTAAAAAAAACGGTATCTCTTCATTTTCTTACCTTCTCGTCGAGAGCCTTATGATGATCGAATAATGACTTCAGTGCTTTTAACACCTCCACCTCACTACTCATGCCAGCTGTAATTGAGGGAGGGAGGGAGGGAGGGAGGGAAAGAAAAAAAGAGGAAGAAAAGAAAGAAAGAAAAAAGGAGAGCAAATAATTAACCCTTCCGTGACGGTGTCTCCATGGCAACTGACCCTGGTGAGCAGTCTGTTTCCTGACGACGGTCATTCGCAGACTTTTCTCGTGTCTCGCCACCAGACACTCCAGGTGCTCCAGCAATAACTATGACATCATAATGACATAATGAATATGACACGGCATTGTAAAAGAATTATGTATGGCATCATAGTGTAATGAATATGACATCATAGCGATGTAATGGATTAAAAACTCACTCGAGTGTTGTTTCTCTCAGATTTCAGTTCCAGCACTTCCTCTTCTTTCTCTTCGGCTTTCTCTTTAGCAGCTGCCAGTTCTCTTACCAGACTGGCGTACTTCTACAGAAATTGCAGAGAGAGAGAGAAAGAGAGAGAGAGAGAGAGTGAGTGAGAGAGAGAGAGAGAGAGTGTGGGTGGAAATTGTGGTAACAGACGGACAGACGGACAGACAGAACGACTACTGTAAGTGTAGGAAATATTCCTGCAAAATCCCCATCTTTTTGACATGTACAGGAAGAATTTAAAGCCTCCTCATATATTCTTCCTGCACATGAGCAAGTTGTGCCGGAAATTTCTTACATTTTACTTGAAATTCCTGTACATTATGATATAGGTTTCCTATTTAAATGAGAGAGTGTTAACAATAATCAGTAAAATCTTTCAGTGCTTTAGCAATAAAACATTTGCGTTTTTGCATTTCCCCCTCATGTCATGTGAACACACGCAAAAAAACCGACACATTGTAAAAACCAAGTTTCAAAGTCGGAAAAACTTCCATCCCTATTGCATCTCCTCTCCACCTACTTTAGCAACAGGCCATTTCTTCATGTCTTGCTCGCCATGTCCGTTGGCCAGCGATCCCACACCTCCACTTCTCCTCAAGTCGTCCAGTAGTTCATGGAGAGACTTCTCATCCTACAGGTCACATGACAGTCACATGATACATCACACGACAGTCACGTGACAGCAAGAGTATTGTACATACATGAGTACATATTGGACACCCATCACACCAATGCATTGAAGGTTCAAGTAATATTTTTCATCGAATTTGGATTTGGAAAAAGTAAATTATGTGCTCAAAGTGGTCTACTGTGGCTCCTGAGGGGGGTGGGGTGGTGGGCGAAAGTCGAGAAAAGCTATTCCACAAGAGGGGGTAGTAGAAGAAAGAGATTATATATACCTCAGGCATCAAGGCTTGCAGCTGTCTCATGAGAATCCCGTTATCAGCTTCAATCTCGCTCAGTCTTCTGGTGGTCTCACTGTATCTATGGGTACACCACGCACAGCATGTAACAGTACCGCACAACTGAAAGATTACGTGAAACTTTCATGGTTTTTATTTTTATTTATTTTGTTTCAGCGCACCATGATGCACACTTGCAGACGGCGTTTGCCAAAAGTGGGCTTTTACAAGATTCATACGTGTTCTCATCGCGAAAGTTATACACGATATACAACAGTAATAATTATTATTACTATACGTACTACACATCTCTGGGGAATCAAATCATATATACCAAATATTCACGTTGTATGTACATGTACTACTATATATAAGTTAGATGCCGAGTCCAGGAAACTACGCGCATTAGAGAGCCGCGGGCGCCCCGGACTGTCGGCGTTCGAGCGCAGCGAGGACGCTACTAAGGGCCCCCAAGGCGCTCTAATGCGCGTAGTTTCCATGGACGAGGCGTCTAACTTGTTTAGAGCTATGGCAACGCGTGCGCGCAATTCAAATTCGGTGCATGTGAAACCGCGATCGAGCGCTGCTTTCTCGCTGGGAAAGTCAAGCGAGAGGCCCAGGGAGGACGTCGACAACGGGCTCGACTCTATACACCTTCGCAGACCGTTGGGGGACTCCGCCCAACGTAAGTGAGCCATTGCGCATGCGCCAAATTTAGAGTCAGGAGAAAGTTTATTTAGAGTCCGGGAAATTCGCTCTACTCGAATTAGAGTCCGCGCGTGGACCAATCAGATTGCGCAATTTAAATTACCCCGCTCTAACAGTTGGGAATATACTTATAGTTCTATCTTTAGTAACTAACATTATTTCCTCCTCACCGCTCTTGGCTCTCTCTCAGTTTCTCCATCAGCCGGTCTCTCTCCTCCAACATGGAGATCATCAACTGCTCCAACTTGTTATTCTCGCCATCGGGACTGGGAGACGACTCCGGTATGGTCGGCAGCACTTCGCACATTGTGGTCTACTGAGGGGGGGTGGGGTGGGGGGCGAAAGTCGAGAAAAGCTATATATTCCACAATATTTACGACAAAATGTAGTAGTCAACATCACACATTTTAATCAGTTTATTCTACGACTTTAGGTTTTTAAGGACTTTTGCCACCTGTCAGTTGTGCCTATTTTAAACTAAACAGACGTTATGAGTTGCCTTTTGCGTTTTCTTTCTTATAATGCAGTAGTTCGCTTTTGCTTTGCCCTATGACATCGTTGCTATTTCTGAGTGTAGACTTATAAATGTTGTTAACAGCATGTTGTACAGTATAATTATACAGCAGCGTGTGCAATTTTTGGTGCTTCTGATTTGACGGTACCAAATACTTCCCAGCCCCAGCCTCTGTTGCTATGGCAATCGCAACATTCCAATTAATGCCCACTTCTCAACAAACACATAAACAACGTAGTACATGATTCAGAAAGCCTATAAATCAAGAACTCGCAGCCAAAATGTCAGTTTAGTACAAGACTCGAACATAGTACTCTATTACATACTGTAACAGAGTATAAACTGAGCATCTGATTGGTCGAATTAAAATTTGATTTGAGCCAATTAGCATCCATTTCGGACGATTATCATTAATGACTGCAAACATCTAAATATCGCACAGAATGGCATCACATCATTCCCTTGTTCTATTAAATACGCATCGAAGAAACCTATGTATTATATCTATTGACCGAAGACCTCCCATTAGTGTAACTCCTCTATGCTGTACTATGACCAGGCATTCTACCAGTGGATTGAGGAATGGACAGTGCTGGATACACATATTAGCCAGAGCAGAGTAACAAACGTCGAGTATGAGAACGGCAAAGTCACAGCTATGTTTCGAGAAGAAGAGGAGTCGAGCGTGTGAGCTGTCAGTATCGGTCTCCGTCGAGCTGCGCATGTCCTACTTACTGACTTGGTGCCTTTCACTGCTCCTCTCTATCCACCTTACTGTTAGCCATGTACCCCTTAGGCATCTTTCCGTCCCTACTCTTTCGCCCTCTTCCTCTTCTTCTGCGCTCTTCTCTCTCTGCTCTCTTTAGCTCCCTATCGATCCTGCTCATATATCTCCCTCATTTTTTCCTCTCTGCTCCTACGTCGTCTCTACGCATCCCCTCCTCCCTCTCCTTCTGCTCGTCGCGTGTACAGTGTTGCTCGTGCTCGCTGTTTTGGTCGCTGTCAGTTGTCCCACTGTAAGAGTGTTCAAAACCTCACCTAACAGCCTCACTCTCATCATCTCTAAATCATCCCCAATGATCCCTAAAGCCACCGTAATACACTGCTGACTGCACACCACATTGTCCTTTTTCTGAGGTTTCATATCATATTCAGTCATCACAAAAATTTGTGGAACCTGATAAATGCGTTGACCACTGCCAATTCCTAGTCTCGTCCTCATGTCGCACTGTCCCCTACTCAGCCAGTACAGTTGATTGAAGTAATTTTCCCTTAGCCTGCGAGTATTGGACGTAATGACACACACACTTACAACCGCTACATCACACTGGAGTGGCCGACACCCCACCACACACAGACACACAGCATCGTCAAAACAAACAGACACACGACTTGCGAAGTCGTGCGGTGCTGTAGACATGGACTAATACTACATAATGGTGTATTTGTAATAGCTATACAGATGCCTCTACAAATTTATTGCGATGAAAACCCTCTCAAGGACACCCCTGAAATGAGGACACCTCACTAAGGACACCCCTGAAATGAGGACACCTCTCTCTAAAGGACGACCCCCTGAAATGAGGACACCTCTCTCTAAGGACCCCCCTGAAATGAGGACACCTCACTAGAGACAACCCCTGAAATGAGGACACCTCACTAGACACCCTGAAATGAGGACACCTCTCTAAGGACACCCTGAAATGAGGACAACCTCACTAGGACAGAACCCCTGAAATGAGGACACCTCTCAGGACACCCCTGAAATGAGGACACCTCTCTAGGACAGCTGAAATGAGGACACCTCACTAAAGGACACCCCTGAAATGAGACACCTCACTAAGGACACTCACTAAGACACACCCTGAAATGAGGACACCTCACTAAGGACAACCCCTGAAATGATGACACCTCACTAGACACCTCACTAAGGACACCCCTGAGAAGGACACCTCACTAAGGACACCCCTGAAATGAGGACACCTCACTAAGGACACCTCACTAAGGACACCCCTGAAATGAGGACACCTCTCAAGGACAACCCCTGAAATGAGACACCTCTCTAAGACAAACAACCCCTGAAATGAGGACACCTCACTAGGACAAAAACCCTGAAATGAGGACACCTCACTAAGGACACCCCTGAAATGAGGACCACCTCTCAAGGACAAACCCCTGAAATGAGGACACCTCTCTAAGACAACCCCTGAAATGAGGACACCTCACTAAGGACACCCCTGAAATGAGGACACCTCACTAAGGACACCTCACTAAGGACACCCCTGAAATGAGGACACCTCACTAAGGACACCCCTGAATGAGGACACCTCACTAAGGACACCTCACTAAGACAACCCCTGAATGAGGACAGCCTCACGTAAGGACAACCCCTGAAATGAGGACACCTCACTAAGGACACCTCACTAAGGACAAACCCCTGATGAGACACCTCTCTAATACGGAAACTTTTTCTTCCAACCTTTCCCCCAGAACAGTTCTTGCATGCAATTTAACCCCTGAAATGAGAACACCCATTAAATGACACTTTCTTCAGACTTGTATTGGTCTCTGGATTAGAGAATTCACTACTCTGCTTTGCAAGGTATAAAAGACGTACACACATACAGATGCCTTCTTCGTCAATAATCAGTGACTACAAATTCCTATATCGTGAAATTTTCGCGAGTGGAAATTTGTCTTGGATAAGTAAGTCTCAGCGACAAAGATGGGGCGTTGAACACACAGCCATGAACTGTAAAGCAGCAGTAGTAGTAGCACAGTAGTGTGATGGGAACACCTGCAGTCTAAACTGATCAGGAGCCCTTGTGGGTTTCTACAAGTCTTCACACCATCTACAGCTCCTTACTACACCTCACACATGTACAATAATGTCTCTGTCGCACATACACTTCACTCACTCAGTGAGGGATTCCTATAGAATATTCAAGAATAATCCGCTACATACAACACAGTAGAACAATCCGGACATGTGTCCCGCGCACCGACAACCTGCGTCACACGTAGACAGCGTAACACCACGTTCCCTCTCTCCCGAACAGAGCTAACGGACGAGCCCACACGCGCCGCAGGGGCGTCGGTCGGCACCTTATGAATATCGTACATCAACTTCCACACGCAGGGCAGTCAGACTCTCGTCATTTGCCGTTGACGAGAAACCGGGTTCACTCCTCCGTCGATCCTTCTATCTGCGTACGAGGAGAGAGAGAGTATGAAGAAAACGGCTGTGTCTTCGAAAGCTACCGGGTCACGTGAGGATCACGACATCATCAAATTGCTGATTCCGCAAACGTTTGCTTCGTCATTGCACACACGACGAGAAGATTGGAGAGGTCTTGTGTCTTGTGTCCAGACTGAGAGTCCTTGTATTACTACTTCCCTGGATCCACAGTTACACAGACTGTGTGGGCAGAGTGAGTACTTAGTGGGCGCCGTTTGTGTGCCGTGTCGGCTGAACGCGACGTGTGAACGAGGGACTGTTGTGTATACCTTTAGCGGGAGAGATGGAGTTGGCTGTGATATGGCACAGCCGTCTACTGAGGGCGAGCGGCGCTCCTCTCGCCAGTAGCTACTCGTCTCCTCCACCCCCTCTACTCAACAACGGCCCTGGAGGTAAAATATTAGATAACACCTGCCAGCTACGTCTGGAGGCGTATGGTGCTATGTAGTTTGTGTCTCCCACTATGAGGAGTAGGAATCACATGACTCAAGGTTGATACATAACCTCATTATGGTGTGTCATGCGTACCTACGGGCCAGCTAAAGTACATATTATATCAGAACGTCTGTCTTGAGATAATCTATCCTATCATACTTCACAAGCTGCCAATGGAACTGTAGCCCCTATCAGTTAACTCTGACTATGCATTATGTGAAGATGCATGAATCAATACAACACCACATCAAACGTTTTTGTTACTACATATAACATTATGTGTATTATGTGTACATTATGACTTGGTAGAGACCTGGTTTTGAAAAATAGTCCCGAATGTGTCACTTTCAATCAACCCATTCAATCATAATGATATATATATGGAATGATATTGCCGTGTGACAAGCATTTCCTTCCCCTCCACCCACTTGCTGAAAGTGACGAACATGTTTGTCATCTCGTGCACTGTATATGACAGGGTGTGAGTAGTTGATGGGTGTCTCCTGCGGCTGTCGTGTGCTCTTCACTGGCCTTCCTAATGAATCCCCTTCATTCTCCCTCCCCTGTCCCTCGCCTCGCTCACCACTTACTGACAACCTCTCACCCATGCGACCCCATCCCTCTCCTGCCGTGCCTCCGCCCTTCCACGCATCGATCGTCGCCCCTCCCCTGTTCCATGACCACACCCTCTTTGGACAGCAAGCATGCTACGCGCACTAGCCCACCCACTTCGACACGCCACACTACTCTCACTAGCCACCCAATTGGCCTCACCTAGAATAGATCATGACTAAGGAATCGCTTCGCATTCGAAACCACACCTCCAATTCATACCCGAACTTCCACCCACCCTCACAAACGATTCCCACATCGTTGCCCTCACCATCAGTCTCCGCCCACTAATCAACTAAGCCCGCCTCAATCATCGTCAATGCCACCAACAAACTTGTTCAGAACCGTCGCTATGACCACCCTCGTTGAGTCGGCAATCAACGTCGTCGGGGAACGGAGATGGAGTGCTGTGTTGTCATGGTAACGTGAAACACAGAGCCACCACCCTGGCTTATTAAGTCAGTCAGCTAGTGATAGCGTCAGGCAAATGGTGTGAGAAATAGCCCAGGGAAGGAAAAAAGACCGGTTGCTCACTGAGAACAGTAGCAGCTTCTCAGATCTTACTCGTCCTCGCCTTGTACAGCTCCAACAGGCGACAATTTTCAATTTTCAAAGCAAAGCTCCACGTCTGGAGGATATGTGTACGGCAGATCTGCATGCTAATCAGGGGCTCGTGTCAGCATGCCCACGAGTCCATACCTCATCCGGTGTGTGATGAGACGATAGGGAGAGGAACGCAGGCCAGCAGAATCTATCAGATACACTACTGCACCACCTCTCGCTAATTTCATCTATCATCCTATCTGGGAATCCGCTAGAGACGATGTGAACAGTGATGTTGCCATGAGTTAGCTTCAATCTCAGACTGCCGCGCTACTCCGTGTAGCCAACGCCCACTCCAATGTTGCCAGTATCAACCATACGCATCATTTTGCCGGGGCAACAGGGGCAAGCGACAAACGAATCCGTATTATTCGGTGATGCACGTAACTGTGTCGTCGGAACCTTCACGTTGTTTGAGCATCTTCTCTTTCCGTCGACTTACCCAATCAATGCCCACCATTACATCATCCGATCGGCACGGCAGCTCCTACCACGCTACCGGTCATGTGATCAGCCTTTCGCCTCAACACTGTCACACCTCGTCGTCTGTCGGTGGTTGCCCCGGCACCCAAACGAGGGGCGTGGTTTCTACCTCGTTGATGTGTGGGATCAGTGGTAGCAGTGATCGAGTGGATAGTATTGATTTGAAACGCTTGACGTCTCGTCTGAATTCCAGTGAGTGCTATAGTGTATGTATGCATGACGATGAAACTCCTGAAAAATAGTGACTGCATTGCACTAGGGCGCATAGAGACTACGCCCTCCAGTAGCAATGGGTCGAACCGTTAACAAACTAACATTATATGACCATGATGTGTCTGTCGCATCACCTCCGAACTACTCTCCAACATCCTCTTTTTCAGAGGTGTCCATTATTCACATTATTGGCCAGCAAAGTGGAAGACACACGCACGAAATATTGAACTGCTCGCCGCTCACTTGCCAACAATGCGTTGCATTCCTTTAGTACTACCTATGGGTTTTAGATGCTGCGGTATACATTGTTTTTTAATAGAGAGTTGCCTTCATATATGAGGTTTTTCCCCCTTTCTTTATCTCTATATTGTCCTGTCCTTTATCCCCGGCTTTTCCTTCTTTATAATGTCACTTCCAAATTTTCAGCTTGTGCTCCTCTATTTTTCCTTTCCGCTGGTTCCTTTCTTTTCCGCTTTCTCTTTCTTGTTTCCTTCCCTCCTTTTCTTTTGTGGACTGCATGTCCTTTTCAGTGAGGTGTCCTTTATTTAGAGGTGTCCTTCACTACTAGTGTGGGGTGGAACTGCAGTGTCCTTTTCAGTGAGGTGTCCTTTATTTAGAGGTGTCCTTCACTACTAGTATGGGGTGGAACTGCAGTGTCCTTTTCAGTGAGGTGTCCTTTATTTAGAGGTGTCCTTCACTACTAGTGTGGGGTGGAACTGCAGTGTCCTTTTCAGTGAGGTGTCCTTTATTTAGAGGTGTCCTTCACTACTTGTGTGGGGTGGAACTGCAGTGTCCTTTTCAGTGAGGTGTCCTTTATTTAGAGGTGTCCTTCACTACTAGTATGGGGTGGAACTGCAGTGTCCTTTTCAGTGAGGTGTCCTTTATTTAGAGGTGTCCTTCACTACTAGTGTGGGGTGGAACTGCAGTGTCCTTTTCAGTGAGGTGTCCTTTATTTAGAGGTGTCCTTCACTACTAGTATGGGGTGGAACTGCAGTGTCCTTTTCAGTGAGGTGTCCTTTATTTAGAGGTGTCCTTCACTACTAGTATGGGGTGGAACTGCAGTGTCCTTTTCAGTGAGGTGTCCTTTATTTAGAGGTGTCCTCACTACTAGTATGGGGTGGAACTGCAGTGTCCTTTTCAGTGAGGTGTCCTTTATTTAGAGGTGTCCTTCACTACTAGTATGGGGTGGAACTGCAGTGTCCTTTTCAGTGAGGTGTCCTTTATTTAGAGGTGTCCTTCACTACTAGTATGGGGTGGAACTGCAGTGTCCTTTTCAGTGAGGTGTCCTTTATTTAGAGGTGTCCTTCACTACTAGTAGTGGGGTGGAACTGCAGTGTCCTTTTCAGTGAGGTGTCCTTTATTTAGAGGTGTCCTTCACTACTAGTATGGGGTGGAACTGCAGTGTCCTTTTCAGTGAGGTGTCCTTTATTTAGAGGTGTCCTTCACTACTAGTATGGGGTGGAACTGCAGTGTCCTTTTCAGTGAGGTGTCCTTTATTTAGAGGTGTCCTTCACTACTAGTATGGGGTGGAACTGCAGTGTCCTTTTCAGTGAGGTGTCCTTTATTTAGAGGTGTCCTTCACTACTAGTATGGGGTGGAACTGCAGTGTCCTTTTCAGTGAGGTGTCCTTTATTTAGAGGTGTCCTTCACTACTAGTGATGGGGTGGAACTGCAGTGTCCTTTTCAGAGAGGTGTCCTTTATTTAGAGGTGTCCTTCACTACTAGTATGGGGTGGAACTGCAGTGTCCTTTTCAGTGAGGTGTCCTTTATTTAGACGTTCGCGGTTTTACTCAGTTTACGGTAGGGAGTGATCAAAGTTGCTCAACTTCGCGTTCTCTCTCTCTCTCTCTCTCTCCATCACAGACATCTCCAGACTCTGCTGTTACTTCATCATCCATTCCCTACAACCCTCCCTTCTCTCCCCCTCCTCCTCCTCCTCCCCCTATCTCTGTCTCTTCAACCCTTTCCCTCTCTCCCTCTCCACCTCACCCCTCCTCCTCTCCTCCCGCGGCGAGTGGCCTGAGGTCTGAACCTGGCACCAGTGGTCTCGGCAGGGAAGAAATCATCATCGTAGACAGCAGTGATGATGTAAGGTTTGAGGAAAAGGGGTGCAGGGGTGAATGACTGACACGTCGGAACGTTTTCTGCCTTAAACAAAGATCTGCTAACATTCATTTCGTGCACACTGTTATTCACAAGTTCCATATCAACACTTTAACCCTTTGGATGCCATAGGGTTCAGCTTAATACGCAGAAATTGATGTACAGTGTAATGTATTAGCGCCTAGTAGTATAACCCCCATATTAATTATTATGGACTTATGGAGGCTCGGGACACATATACAATACTGTTTACGAGTTTGTATCTACTTATTGTTTAAACACTTTAATATGTACTGTGTTTATGTATGTATGTATGTATACAGCAAGGGATTTCAAGCTATGTACTGTATGTGTTGTTGGTGATGACACATGAGGGGTCTTCGTGTCAAATTTGTGAAGACTATTTGTTGTCTCGTCCACAGGAAGATGATCATCACGTTATTATGTTCACTCGCGAACCCGACAACCGCCGTCTTGGCAACACCACCCGTCGTCGCGAAGCCACGCAAATGTCGCAAGACGAGCGACTGGCTCGCCACCTCCAGGCCCAGTTTGACAGAGAACTGGACGTCTCCGCTGTCACTCACCCCTCTTCCTCCTCCTCCTCCTCCTCCTCCTCTGTCACTCACAGGAGACTGTTTGGTGAGCTGAGAGGTCGACCGAGGTCACAGGCCGACAGCAATCTGTGGTCATCGCGAGGGGTACGTGTTGCCATGGTGATCGCTGTTGCTCTCCTTATTATAATTTTTTATTCCAGCCGTCTGGCGTAATTCCTTCTCTCCCTCTCCAAACCACTACTACTCCTGGATCCGTCTTTCCTCCTACCAGGTATATATATACATAATACTGTAGTTGTTTGCTAGAATGATAGAAACAGTGTACATATTCTCTGTATTATAAATAGCCACAATGCTAAGGTGAATGCACATATTTGTCGATATCTGATCACATGACTCCAAACTCAACTGACCAATCAGATTCAAGCTACATAATAGTTAGACGCTGATTCGAGGTAACTAAGACAGCAAGTAGAAAACAAAAGAGAGCCCACACGCATTGTGGCGCCCCGAGAGCATCGAGGCGCTACAACCGGGGAACCGAGGCTTTCTACACGGCGGGGGCCCCCGTGGTTACCCTGCTCACGGAATCAGAGTCTAACTATTTTAGAGGAGCGCTTCACGTTGAGCGCTCTGGCTTTGTCTTGTTCGTTCGTCATGGTTTTCTGGAGCGCTTCGACATATAAACTCGATGAAGACAGGCTTCACGAGCGCCATGGTAAATTGCAGTGTCAAGAGAGCCTTTGCGTTGTCCTGCTGGGTAGCGAGTGGCAGCTTCCTCGTTGGTTGGTTTGGTGTTTCGGTAGCGCTTCCGCCCGTCTTTTTTGGGTTTGTGCTCGGAAGGTTCGCGCGGCAGGGGGCGAGCTGTCCTGTCCCGATGTGCGCTCTGTCTGTGACTGACGCGTCATGTAGATCCGTGTTGATCTTGGTTGTTTTACATGTACATTTTGTTATGTTTTACTGGTTTTATCTTGTAGTGTTTTGTAGGTGTCTGTAGGGTTTAAACATGGTTAGTATCACCCCGTCGAGGTTTTACTACGGGATAATAGTAAACCTCGCGGCTTTGCAATCTGATTGTTGTCAATTCGAATCAAGCTTCTCTAATAGTATGTGAGACATTGACCCTGACCAGCCAGATCATATTTCCTATGCGTTCCCACCGTGTTCATCAAAAATTGGACTTCTATTTGCGTTCCTCACAGGCATCCAGAAATAAAGATCATGTGGTCCCACATCCACCACATTACTCCACTCTGAGCCAACCGTTACTTCAGTCGGGGCGTTCTTATCACCTGGACACGTACCCCCTCAGTGGAGTGGGGCCTCTCTGGCCACTCTCATAGGTGGGCGGGTTGGTCCAGAAGTAAGTCTTACATGCCCTGTCGTTCAAGCCCGCCAACCTACGTCATTTTCAATGCATGAGGGAAGACAACAACCTACTATGAGGTAAGCCTTAAAAGGTTGCATGCCTCCTAATGACCCCCTTTTGTTCTCTACGTGTAATTTCAGCAATCTTAAGTATGCCCTGCAATGCACAAAGTTCTTCTTTCATGCATTGCACAATCATAGTCATGACATTGACTGGGCCATGGCTGCGGTGAATAGAAAATAGTTTAGTCTGCGTAATGATTTTCATCAGAAGATCATGTACATTCCACATGTTCCTGGTTGTTCCACATGGAGGTATAATGGAACTGCAGAGAGACTGGGTCCTGCTAAAGCACGTTGCGTAGGGGTCCCCCCTGGCTCCATTGGATGAGGTACGTTTTACCCTTTCTCACTGTACTTACTGCTTTAAACATTTCCTCCACGTACTACTTTTATTGGAATCGAAAACTGTATACTAAGACTAAGAGGGAGTAGTTTTTCCGACTCCCTCCTGGTCTGTTTGCCTTATTTTTTTTACATCATTTACTACTTTATATTTTTCTTTGCCTTGCATTTGTAACAATCAGTATGGCTTTCTCCCGTTGACACGTAACAGTCATCGTTAATAGTATTAACGATTCGTTGAGGACTGGATCAAGAGTGGTTTTTGTTATTTAAATATATAAGTATTATACACCTTTCCCCACCATACATACTTATCTCGTCCCTGTATTTGCTCTATTAGAGAACACGCTTTTATATTATTGCGTCTGAGAAGTTTCGGCAATTTTTTGTAAACCCTTCGAACTTATTAGATGACGTGTCTTTGTAATTTGATTGACGAGGTTGCTTTACTCTGTTTCTGCTAGTTAGCACCATACCTTTTGTGCATGCACCAGGTTATATTGTCATTCGAATAAGAATTTTTCGCTTTGTCCTGGGCATGTCCCGTTTTTTTGTGTATGTGAATATGCTCTGCTGAAACTTTCCTCCTATCTCTTCTCCCGCATTCTTTCTTTCGTTTCATAAAGACATATTTTTCATATCCTCACTCTGTTTTGATTTCCCCTTCTTTTTATTTCAATTGCACCTCACGTTTTCGTGTGTGGGGTGATGATCTTGGTGCGTAGCTTCAGTAGATGAGGTTAGAGCTCCATAAGATTACCCTCAGAACCATTGCGCCATCGACTTCAATAGCTTCCAGAACCCGTGTATCGAACAGGTGGTCTGTCTCCAATTTTTTTTTTT